GAGACAGGAACAGACCTGTCCCGAAACAAGAACTGACCTGTCCCGAGACAGGAACGGACCAGTCCCGAGACGGGAACGGACCAGTCCCGAGACAGGAACGGACCAGTCCCGAGACAAGAACAGACCTGTCCTGAAACTGGAACAGACCAGTCCGTCTGATGACCTCTGTGAGGTGCGCACCAAACTCTGTACAACACCGGTGTTGTGTCGAGTTGTGTCACAACACAGAAGTCGTGGCCATTTCTGGTGCAACTGTACCGTGACAGGTTTTTATGGTCCCAGTTCATCAAGTTTTACAAAAGCACCTTTAAACTTAATATTTAAAAACAAGGAGATTAAAACCGGATCAGCTAAAAATCTTTGCCATCTTTAGTTAATACAATTTAAACTGATCGGAGCTTAGGTAAATTCAAGTGACATCACTGTCATTCCACTTGAAGTTTTATACTATTCCATCAGAAAAAAAGAGACGTTAGTTTGGTCTAACCAGGTTAAGTCAGGTCCTCTGGAAGGACCTGACTTAACCTGGTTAGATTATCTACCTGGATTACAGAGCAGCATCAGGATGTTAGTTTGGTCCTCATGTGACCACAGCCAGGGTGTCCCTGAGACCAATGGACACACACCAGCTCCCCACCACCCTAAAGAAACTCATGGACGGATGGATGGTGGTTCTGACCCGTGTGGTGCTGACCTCTGGTTCTGACCCGTGTGGTGCTGATCTCTCTGGTTCTGACCCGTGTGGTGCTGATCTCTGGTTCGGACTTCTGATTCTGACCCGTGTAGATCTGACCTCTGGTTCTGACCCGTGTGGTGCTGATCTCTGGTTCTGACCCGTGTGGATCTGACCCCTGGTTCTGACCCGTGTGGATCTGACCTCTGGTTCTGACCCCTGGTTCTGACCCGTGTGGTTCTGACCCATGTGGATCTAACCCCTGGTTCTGACCGGTGTGGATCTGACCTCTGGTTCTGACCCGTGTGGATCTGACCTCTGGTTCTGACCTCTGGTTCTGACCCGTGTGGATCTGACCTCTGGTTCTGACCCGTGTGGTGCTGATCTCTCTGGTTCTGACCCGTGTGGATCTGACCTCTGGTTCTGACCCATGTGGATCTGACCTCTGGTTCTGACCCGTGTGGTTCTGACCCACGTGGATCTGACCTCTGGTTCTGACCCACGTGGATCTGACCTCTGGTTCTGACCCACGTGGATCTGACCTCTGGTTCTGACCCGTGTGGATCTGACCCCTGGTTCTGAC